GCACAGGCTGTGCGATGCAATAAGCAATGCCTCATGCAGGAGGGAAGGCTCAGCAGCTCCTTCTCCCCGTTTCCCTGACATGAACCTCTGGTTTAGTTGCTGCATGTTTGTGTGCCATGCACTACCTCAGCATTTCACACTGGTCATCATGCTACGTGCATGCCTCCCTGCAAGGGACAGGTAGGTGGGATTTGGCCTGGGTTTAGGGAGGTGGGTGAGAAATAACAAATACTGAGGCTTATTCTGCCATAAGTGCATCAATGTAATTTATATTAAATTAGCAAGAATTAGAGAGTTCTGCCAAGGGGAAAACAGACTATGCTGTGGAGATCCAAAGGCATAATAAAAGGAGGGAGCTGTATCTCGGGCATAAAGTCTTCCAAATAAGGGAAGTGATGGAAGTCATTAATTTTTCTCCTGCTGTGTGTAAATGTACATCGTTGTGAATCACTAACGCACACTGTGGAACACCCAAGTAAATGTAAATTGGAGGACTGTGAAAAACTTGAAATAACCAGGTGATATTTCTAATACACAGTTATCCTGATTCTGTCTCATTTGCACCCAGTCAGTGCAGGGCTAACACCAGCAAAGACAAATGTCTTACAATAGCCACTGATTTGAGAGGATGGCCTCAGGAAGCAGCATCTGTCTTTAATCTGAGCCAAACAGCTTCCTTCCCTGCATCCCTGAGGCTTTGGAGACACCAGCTTCTCCAAGGTGACAGACAGTTTTATGCCTGTAATCCTTTCCTCTGAATGGAGCAAGATAAACCTCTTTTACTCAAGCACCCTTTCCAAGTCTCCCGCTCCTTTCCCTTGCAAATAGCCTCAGTTAGGAATGGCAGAATTGCCACCCTTCCAGTGCAGCCAGAGTTTTATGGAAGGCTTTGATGTTTCTCTTCTTTTTTCTCTTTTTTTTTTTTTTTTTTTGGTTGGTTTGGGCTTGATTTTTTTAATTGGGTTTTGGCTTTTTTCGGGATTTTTGTTTGTTTGTTTGTTTTAATTTGAAGTCACACTTGGCACATGCAGTTAGGGCTGGGCTGCCTGGAAGTCTTCCTTCAGACATCTCCCAGGTTAGTGCCTGCTCCTTGAATCTATCCACTGGAAACCAGTTTCTGAAGAATAGGTGTGTCCTGCAGGGAAATGGCTCTCTGGCCATTTAATCTGAAAACAGAGGTAGGCTGCTTCTGGAGGGAAATCCTGCTGTACCCCAGGTGCCACCAGCCAGCGTGCATCTGGCTGACAGCTTTGGAAAGCACCTGTAGCTGTAGCCTCCCTCATTGGTGTGGACGTGTGCTGGCACTGCTACCCTGTCAGCAGGGAGGATCAGAGTGATTCTGTCTTGCCAGGGAGAGTGGAAAAGAGCAGATAGATACGGAATCACAGAATCGGAATAGTTAGGGTTAGAAAGGGTTGAGATCGTTTCAGCCCCAAGACCTCTAATCATTCGCTTTATCGGGTAAAACTGCCACCGCGGCCGAGTGCCAGCTATCCTGAGGGAAACTTCACAGGGAGCCAGTTACTAGATGGTTCGATTAGTCTTTCACCCCTCGACCTGGGTCGGACAACCGATTTGCACGTCAGGACCGCTACGGATCTCCACCAGAGTTTCCTCTGGCTTTGCCCTGCCCAGGGCCTTAAGATGATCTAGTTCCAACCCCCTTGCCATGTGCAGGGACACCTCACACTAAACTATGTCACCCAAGGCTCTGTCCAACCTGGCCTTGAACACCGCCAGGGATGGAGCATTCACAACTTCCTTGGGCAACCTGTAAAAAGTGTTTTCTGTACTAATGAGCCTGATAAGCTTATTTCCGTGAGACTCCCTCCGCTCTTTCAAAACATAACTAACTATGCCATTTTTATAGGATTTGAAAACTTCTTTTCTGTAACAGAAGTACGTGGTGCTTTTGAGAATGAGATTTTTGGTTCCAGTTTTATACAGATACCTGAAACCTCACTTGACAGCACCCACGGTCCCAGGGAGGCTATGCGCCTGACAGCCACACTACCGTGCCTCCTGTCCATCTGCAGAGTCGCTGCTTTTTGTAGCAATGGCTGGACACTGGCTTAAAGAGAGCGAAGGTGTGGGAGGCCTTAGGAGGCGATTCTGTGGGTTTTTTTCAGCGAGCAGGAGAGTTTAGCAGTACAGGGGTCTGGGGGCCCTTGGGCTGGATGCCCAGAGAGAGGCCTATCCTGTGTCAGCCACCATGAAAACTGTGGACCTGTTCAGGAGCTGATGCAAGGGTGCAGCTCAGGTACAATTACCACTTGGATGTGGAAGTCGTTTTATTGGCGTAGTGCCTGTTGTGCAGGGATTTGCCTTCATTATGGTTTGTTTTATTGGGATTTTTTGTTTTCATATGTACTGTGAGAGGTCACTTAGCTTGTTTCTCAGTAAATGAAAGCAAAATCCTTTGTCTAGTTTTAAGCAGACAGATGTGGCAGTGCAAAGCATGAGCACACAAAAGCCTGTGTGATGGTTTCTTGTTCTATCTAGTACCATACAAAAGGTCAGTAGTAGCAGCTGGTTTTGCTTTTCTTGTTGAATCCTATGTTTTGGAAGATGCAAGATGATTTTTCCCTCAGACTAATTTGTTGGATTTTTTGTTGGTCTTTTTTTTTTTTTTACCTACAAGGCACAGCTCCAACTTGCTGCTGCATTACTCTTCAGACCAAAGAACCATTCCAATTGGAGTGTCGTGTTTTAGTGCAAACCTAATTAAGCAAATAAGGTTTTATATAGACCCCCTGCTTCACTGAGGACCCACCTGGAGGGGGAGCGTTAAGCTGTTGCAAAGCAGAGCTAGCACTGGTGAGGCAAGGGTGTGCTCCCAGTTAAAATACGTGATGCTTTTGCAGTGTGCGTGGGTCAGAGCTCACTGGCAGAGGCTCACGGTGACTGTCAGGCTTTCCATGGGAGCAGTAGAAAATATCACAGCCAGCTTCAGGGCCCTGGAAACTCAGTATGGAAAAGAGGCAAAGGTGAACAGACACATCCTGTGCCTCAGAATCAAGCGCAGTAATGAATTAAAATAGACCAACCTGAGACTGTATGTTTCCAGTCTGAGTGGCACTGCTGCCTTAACCCATTTCATAGACCCACAAACTGGTTTGGGTTGGAAAGAACCTTAAAGATTATCTAGTTCCAACCCCTGTGCAGCTCAGGGGTGGCCAGCCAGGCCTGCAGGCAGCCTTGGGGCTGGTCAGGGGCACTGCCCGCAATAATTAGCTGTGACTGACTTGGAGCACACAGTGGAGGGGCTGGTGGAAAAGGTAGGCTGCGAGGCTGCACTGTCCTGTTCCACCTGTCCCAGGGAACCCAGGGTTGGAGCCGAGAGCCCGCCACACGTGCTGGTGTTTATCTATCAGGGGTGGGGCCTTTTTTGTCGCTCCACTGGAGTAAGGTGGGACTGGCCCTCATGGCGCATAGCTCACAATAAATGTGTGCTCAAATCGAACAGTCTGTATTACCAACCATTAAAATTTTATTGCAAATTTTGTTTGCACTATTGAAGATTTTTCTTTCCTCCCTCCCCTGGGCGGTAGAAATATGTGTGTGCATGTTCATTCATCTGTCAAGTTATTGTAGACAGCAAGATGTAAGGAAGAGAGCAGTGCCCTCAGCTTAGGCTGCTGTTACATCCTGGGATGATGAACTGGGATAGGTGCTTTGTTTTGTACTTTCCAGACTGTAACTAAATAAAGTCTAGCCTGTCTTGCACCATGAAAAT